CCATCGACAATCACTGATATTACTGCTGACATTACTTGCTTGTGCTATTCTCATAGACTCTAGCGGAATACTAAGCGACTAACGTGCATTTGAAAGTTATTAACAAGACTTTTTGATTGACGTAATGTGATTTTTGATCGAAGTAAACTGTTGCAATTAGTATTAAAATCACTTCTACGTCATATATCACCAACTCACGTTAAATCACGCAGTCACATCATAATAACTCACCAACTAATACCACAACCCAAGTTCATAGACTGATTCAAGCGAACTGGCGCTCTTTGACTTATGCTATAATACAACAACTTACTTTTGAGCATTCTATATAACCACTGTAGATCGCAGTGCAATATAAGAGTATCATCTGTATTGAACTAGCAAATTGGTTTTTTGTTGACGTCGTTACGTAAGAAAAAAATCCTTTTTGTTCAACGCAGAGCAGCAAAAACTTGTGAAAGCAAAGCAAAAGATGACTGTCGGTTTACTTGCCATTCTAAGCGTGGTGAACTTGTCAAATCCATTGTGAACATTGTGTTGATGAATCACATCATGTTCCGTTTGCCTATCCTCCCTCTTTAAAGCATCAATCTCATTTCGAAAATCATCTAGTCGTTCCTTGAATAAACGTGCTTTCTCGGAAAAGTCGTGCCTGCAAGGAGTACTCTTTAAAATTTTGGTTAAAAATGTATTATCGAAACGACACAAATTTAAGATCTGACGCTAAGCTAAATTATTGAAGTGACCTCGATTTTTCCAGTTCGCTACGCAAATTGTGAAACTCTAGCCGTTGATTTACCGACGGATCTGGAGGGGGTGGTGCATGCATCATCTAAAATAATGTGTTCTCGACAATTTCCCTCCCTCAACACCATTTATCCATGAATGGCATAGGTATAAACTCATGATACGGTCACCTGTGCCATGTTCGGTATTGCTCTATAAATTGGCGCAGCAGACTGTGGCACACTATGATGCTGTGACTGAAGTATTTGTTGTCTATCAGTAATTGTCGACCGATCGCCCTCTTGCGATCCACCAGAAATCATCAGTTGATGATGAGAGAGGGTTCCTTGCAGACCCAAGTTTGACAAAGGCCAAATCTACAACTTTGATTGTCAAGTCATGATCGAATTCAAAGCGACGCGTACCGTAGGTTCTGTGATGAGCGCGTGACTGGCATAGTGAGGCTTAGCGTTCACATCGGCAAGTGACATGGATATTCGTTGAGCGTAGAGCTCTGCCTCTCTCGCCTTTCTTTCCATTCTCATAAGGGCTTCTTCCGACTTAAAAATTAACCTCAACTGGAATTCGGAGCACAGAAAGAGGTACAAATGGTTAAAG